TTCGACCATCTGGTCGAATGGGAGCACCAAAGCACAGAGCAAGCATGCCATGTGTCCACTTAGGCAACCCCTGATCTGAATCACGAAGAACAAGTAGGACAGCATTGGTTCCAAGACCCAGACTCTCGCCCTGCGTTAAAGACAAGCCAAAAGGAGGTTGTTTGAAGGAGTTGGTGGCTCAAACCATGTTGTTTATCCTCGCAACGTTTACTGAACATATTCCATGTGAAGGATGATCCGGGTTTGCATTCAGACATCGTGAAACACTTAGTTACCAAGTTCCTGGACTGGTAGCATTTTAGGCAGCCCATTTCGACAGTAAACACAAAAGTTTCGACTTGAGTTGGGTCAATCTACTGAAGGCATCCTCTTGGCCAGGAGACTGTGGGTGTGCCGCGGGGAAAGAGAAACCTTAGGCCTTGAAGAAGTTGTTATAGCATGCTTCAGGACTTTGAGTGGGAAACGGCGATTTCTGCAGGTTTAACAAGCGACAAACGAGGTTGTGAAACATTGGTGGTTGAACCATGAGTCAAACGGGCGGGGTGTTGAATCGCCCCCTTGAAGGCCTACCATTCCGGCAACTACCAAGAGTGTATGGAAACAGCCGGGGCCCCGGCCAATGAGCGCGGAGTCCTGCCTTGGTGTCAGGCTGACGGTTTACTGAACGTCGTGATGTCTCGCTGGAGTCAGTGCTCCACTTGGATGTTCAACCTACTTTGTAGGTCATTCCATGGTTAGAAGATTGTTCAAGGATCCACAGTTGTCTTGTTTGTGCGCCTTGGATTCCTGTACGGGCTTTGGGAGTTCATGACCGCTTGTGTGGGGTGGTCAGTCCGGGGCCTTGAACTCCAACCAGAGTGACGTGAATGGGAGGCTGACCTGTAATGGCAGGAGGGACGGTTCCGTTGGCCGCTGCGCCCTGCAGGTCGCTCCATCCATCCATCCATCCATCCATCCATCCATCCATCCATCCATCCATCCATCCATCCATCCATCCATCCATCCATCCATCCATCCATCCATCCATCCATCCATCCATCCATCCATCCATCCATCCATCCATCCATCCATCCATCCATGTTCCACGTCTAAGCATTGTCATTGTCTATCCTCTTCCAGGTTGAGCATCTAAGTGTTATGGTAGGATCAACAGGCTTGCTCCAGAAGCACTGCTATACCTTGCAGCTTTCCTTCTGGCAGGTTGGTAAAACATAGAAAACAGCAAAACCAAACATGAGTACTTGAAGGTTTGTTGGCGTTGCATGGCCACTGCCGATCTGGGTCAAGCAGTTCCTTAGGACACTGACAATTGCTCAACCCTCAGATGGTGACATCCATAGGCATGACCACCCCGTCAAGCCTGATTCACTCAAGGCCTTCAAAAGATTTCAACAGGCCCATTGTCATTGGGCGGTGCTCAAGGGTCCCTCAGCGAGGAAACCAAAGACCAAAGGTTTTGTGGGATTGTTCGGAGGAACCTTCGATCAGAAGTTCAATGCTCGAACCTTGCTTAAAAGACAGAGATAGGGTTGTATCTACATGAGCGGCAATCAAAATTCCTATGAGGAAACTTAGTCGTGGGGTGCCAAAATGGAATTCCGCGGAAGGATTTGTTTAGGGCGCGCAAGCTTGCAGAAGCTTCTGCGAAGCACATTGCAAGCTTTGTTGCTGCGGAAGCCCGCGGAAGCTAGCTTCACAGATTGCAAACAAACTGAACAATTCATTTGGCTCAAACAAATTGTTTTTTTGGGGGTCCGGGTGCTTGGAGAAAAAAGAGCCGTTTGGGCCAAACAAATCGTTTTTATTGCGCCCCACACTCCAATAAACTAGAAGCCAAAACCAAACCAGGGAAGAGTCGAACCCTTGTGTCTAAAAAGGCACTGCGGATCAGAACAACGTCCGCGCTACAAACTGTTTCGCACCGGCCCTCTGAGCAAAACGAGCGCTAGCCTCACATTTCCCGTCCTCCTTTGTGAAGTCGCAAAAACCAACCGCGATTTGTTTGGCGCAAACAAATTTGTTTGGCTCAAAAATGTTTTTCCGGCCTGACTCAGTCTGGCAAGCAAAATGAAGAATAAACACGATTTATTTGGCTCTGACAAGTGTTTTCCCAACGCAGCTTTTTGACCAACAAAAGTGACTTGGCAAATTCCGCAAACAACGCCAGCAAAGCCAAACACAGACCATGCGCGGAAGCCGCGGAAGCAAAGTACTTTTGCGGAATCAAAAACCCGTGCCGCGGAAGCCAGCGGAAGATGCGCGGACACCAGTCCCATATTACGACCTTCTGTCCCTTTATTTTTGGTTACCGCTCACATGTATCTCCTTGCTGCAGCCTGAACCCGCCCACCAACAAACATGGAACTGCTCATGCCCCCTTTGTTTGAGCACTGCTTTTCTTTTTGAAAGGTTGGTGTACTTCCAAGTATGTTGGTGGGTCCGCATTGCTCTCAGGTGCAAATCCTGCTGGCGGAGAAAGATGATCCACCTGCCCGCAAGCTTTTAGAGCGAGCAGGAGCGAGCCAACAAGGTGTCATTCACCAAGGGCTATGCATATGGGTCTAATCAGAATCAGAATAGGGAAGATATTGTTGGCAAGGTACTTGATGTTGTCTTATTTTATCGGTCACAAGTCAGATTCGTGTTTGATTTTCCGAAATCACACATTTGGTGCCCTGATCGCCAACAGTCTTCGAGTATCAGTGACCGTTCAAGCTCCCAACCTGTTGCGGCTCAACCAGCCCAATCTAACAGAGGCCAAAAAGACTTTCAATTCCAATTGGTTGGCGGGGTGGGACAAGAAGTTCCTTCCGTTCAAACCTGCAAGGGTCATATGATGTTTGCGAGATGGCGAAGAGGTGTCAGCTGACCCCCTTTTTGGACTTGAGAATGGTGGCATTTGCCACCCTCAACCAACGACGAACCAAGGGTAGAGTGCTGGTTGGTTTTCTTTGGTTTCGCTTTTCCAGCAAGCATTGACGGACTACACAGTTCTAGTTCTGAGGACCATGTGTTGACAACCCCACGAGCCCTACACCCACGGAAACCGCCTAAACCCACCCAACATCCACCCCAAACCCACCCCAAATTGACAACCAAGCCTGTTGACCTCAACATGTGTGTTGAAGCCGTACATCAAGAGGTCAAGGATTCCGAAGGATTGACAAGTCTTCCAAGGGGCTTTTGACCCAAAGCGCACTGAACCGGCAGGACATCAGCTGGCCCACGCGCGGACGAGTATTCTGAAGCTTTGAGCTGCTCGGCTCGATCTGAAACGAACCGGGGGGGTCTACAATCTCAACCATCCCGTGGAAGCTTGCGGACGGGGCGTGGTAGATTTGCTCTTCCAGCATTACATTTGCTTTATCCGGAATTGCTCCTCATTTTCCACAAACAACTTGCCCGCGGGAAGGCCCGTGGAAGCACTTATGTAAAAGCATGCTTGCCGAAGGCACCCTTCACCTTGCAGAAGGCTTTGGGGAAGCGACCCATACATCCGTTCAAATTTGCAGGGAGTGAACGCCAACACTCAGTTGATCTTACAGGTTAAATGGTAAGAAGGTGCAGATTCAAATGAGCCAAGTGGTTGCTGTGTACCTTGCCCAGTCTTTGCATGAATCCATCACGTAAGACTTGGTCAGTCCTAGTGCAACCCGGTGACCATTTTAGTGGCTGAACGCTTGTGATTCTGGATTAGGATTGGTTAACCCCCCTTTGTGAAGAACCCAGAAAAGTGCAACAGCCCATGGACATGGGAGGTTGATTTTGACAAGAACGATAGGTGACAAGTCAAGAGACCTCTTCTGCCCCCTCTACCCCTTACAAAAGTTCTCAGAGCCTTCCAAGACCCCCTTCTAAAAAGGTTCCAAACCTTTCCGGGGGGCAGGAACATTTTGTTCCTTCCTAACAAGAATGGAGCATCGATTTTTTGACGTGCGGGTTGGCACCCTCCCTGAAAGCTATGGGTAATTTGCCTGCCAAGTTTGGCTAGGCCAAACTTTTGTTGAGCGCTTGCTTCATCATACCCTACCAGCAAGCACGCTGAATTTACTGCAGTGGAGTCCAGGTTTGGTCAAGATTGCAACAACTACCCTCCCACCCGCGTTGCGACTATCTTCCTCAAACAACAATTTCTTTCGTGGATTCCATGGCAACGTCGGGAGGGCATCTTCGTTACATGTCCTTTCGAAAGTGGCCGGCAATGGCCTAAGCTCAGTCCGCTCGACAGGATCTTCAGCCTGCAAGCCAGGCTGGCGGCGTCGTAGTCAAGCTGCGAACACAAATGAGCTTCAAAGCCTGAGAAAATGAAGATGAGTTCCATTGGGAATAGTCCCAATCCAATGGTAACAGGTCCATAGGTGCGGCCGCTTTCTTTAGTGTTCAGATGATTAGGGAAGACTACTTTAGCATCAGGTTTTGATTATGACTTTTCAAGGTGGAGGATACCAAGCCGCTTTTTGTTGCAAGACGTGCAACTCATGGCAATAAATATTCAGTCTCGAGGCATATGGTGGAAATCGCCTCACCCCAAACCTGCGGAGGTACTTCAGCCCCTATTGGCCGCCAAACACACATCCTTATAGGGCACATAGGGACGCTTTGGGTTGTGGTGTGACTCCGGATTTCAGCTCAAGCTGGAGTTGTTTGGGCTTTGAGGCCAGGCAGAGCCCAAGTGCCGCAGCTTCCCGCGGTTTTGAATCAAAAGGGCCGCTTGATTTTTTTTGGTTGGAGTATGGTGGAGTTCTTGACGAGTTGCAACGGCCGAACAAGGGCAGAAGGAGTGGAAGCCTTTATTTGAGTCAAAGTTTATCAGAGTCATTCATGCAGCAACGACAGGGCAGCGGTTTGTTTCATGCCATTTGATGCTCCCTAAAGTTGGGGGAGCATGCTTCTCGCAACAGTGGGTTACCCTCCTTAGAATTCAGCCCACGAATGTCTCTCACTTGCGATTGGAGTGACAGTCGTCAGGGGCGAACTTGATCGCGGTCGAAGTTGATCGCAGCCGGCGCAGCCGTTCTACTCGTAGTTTGCTCAATAGATCAAACATGAAGCTGCTGACGTTCCTCGCGGCTGCTACATGTGCCTTGGCAAAGACCACTCTGACAGTTTTTTTTTCTTTCGCAACAGCAACCGCAAAAGGGTGGGAAGGTCCATCCTGAGGAGCTTCGAGGCTGGTTCTGAGGGATGAGGCCAAGGTGTTGGAAATGCTCCTTGATCTTTGTTGCCTTTGCTTAGGGTTGATGTTCATCAACATCCATCTTCCTTTGTTTGGGCGTACTTTGGGCAAGGATGGCATAGCAATCAGGCGGCAAGTTCCAGAAACCCCTGAAAGCAGAAGGCGTCCCGACTCAAGTAGGCCAACCTGGGAGAGGAGCTATACCTAGAAGCCCTTGTGAATCAGGTCAGGTTTGGATGTATTTGTTGAGCGACCTGAAGACATGTGACTGTCAATTGGCAACAACGGAGCTTGCGGTCCATGCTCTTGCCTTTCCTGAGAAAATCCGTGTTCGGAGTTAGGACGCTGCCCAGCTTTCCGCTCGGGGCGGCAGGCGTTCTTTTGTGCCGACCGACTCATACCTTCAGTCCGGGATGCAGTTTTTGGGTTTGCAGACCACCTGCCAAGGTGTCGGAGCAGTCCGCCGGGACACCCAGTGTTCGTGCTAGTGTACTTTTCGAGCCCCAAAACCACCAGGAGGTTGTAGGGTACTCTTAGGACAAATGATCTTTCATGATCATGGGACTACACCAATGTGTGCAATTCAGCCCCTCATATTGGTCGGGCCTTCAAAGAAGCTTGCTGTTTGAGGCTTCAATTGGTTTTACTGGCTTAGTATTGGTTTGCTGTTGTACCTCTAGTAGTTTAGTGTTAGTTAGTATTGGGTTAGTATTGGTGAATATTATATAGTAAATTAGTGGCGTGGTCTTGTTCCAGTATTCGCGTGGTTGTCAAAGGCCAGCAATAGGGCCTCCCAATCCCAATAGGGCCTGATAGCGACTGGTAAGGCCAATTAGGGGCCTCCTTTCAGGTGCCCTTAAAAAAAGAAGGGGGGATTTGGGGGGCACCTGGCAACCTCGGGAAGTATTGCGAGGGCTGGGGATCACGTTGTTGGCAATGGTGCCTCCTGAAGCGCAGGACTGTTGACTCCCTTTAGAGTGTGAGCGGATGTTGGGGGGTGGAGATGCTTGCGCACATGTTGGCAACTTCACCACCAGCTTACTCGTGTGCAACTTCAGTCCTGCTATGGGGGGGGGGGTTTGCGTGATGTGGGGTGGGGTGGGGTGGAGTTCCTGAATTCAAAGAACAAGGGCGCGCTGCTTTCTTTAATGGTGGATATAAGAAACCGTCATGGCAGGGCACAAGCGTGACAACTGAGCTGAGCATACAAATCAAAAATAGCAACTGTCCAGTCTGGAACAGCTTTTGTGTACAACCTACCGTTTGATTCTGCGCTATCCATCATGACAGCGCGGGCCGCGCGGCGCGCTGGAGTCCTCGGCAGGCACGTCGCTTGAGGAGCTGCAGGCATTCTTCCGGCAGCGTGCCGAGCTGGCCGCGCGCCAAACAACAAGCCGTGGGCCCCTAACCGTTCAGATTATTCGGACATCTCCAATGTCATTGGGTTCTTGCTTTTCTTTACTAGATTTGAGCCAGAGTCTAAGCATGTCATTGATATGGCATTTGTAGCAGGAAAGACCGGGATAGAAACACCCCGCGAAGTAAGAACCCCCGGGTGCCTCGATGAACGGTCGATGGATGGCGTCAGGAAAATCAAGTGCCTGCGTCGCCAGTTGTGGATCCATTTCAGAAAGGCTTGGCATCTCTTTTGTTTTCCCCGGAAATGTCCGCTGCTCTCGGCCAAATCCCAAAAGTAACAAATACTAACCATCTTTGCATCTCCCTATTATCTATTGATGATTAACTGGTGATGGTTGATTGTGAGCGAAAAGATGCCATCATTCCCTCAATCCCTTCCACACGCTGTATAATAGAAGCTTGCAAGGAAGGGAATGACATCTCTTTACTTCGTTACATCAAATCCCAACCCTTTGTTATTAGCTTTTTGATTGGGATTGGGGTAAGAAGTGAAAAGATGTTTTATCTAAATATTTATTGCTGAGGATCTGTCTCTCATGGAATCCCAAGTAAAAGCAAAGTTGAGGGATTCTAGAGACAGATGGGGCGGATTAATTATGAAAACCTCTTTCTCATGGTCTCGCCCACCAATTAAACCTGGAAATCTCCGAACGAAGAGAGGAATGGCGAGACAAAGGTGCCTGGTTCACCAGAAAGGCAGCACGTAGTTGCCCTCCCACCATTGAAGGGACTTCTGCACCTGGGGGCGTGCCCCTACCATCTATCCTGTGGCAAGCACATAGGATGCCCAAACCAGATTCGGTTAAAGTGGGCGGTTGGGGAAAAGACTGTGATAGCTCTTAGGCGTCCTCTTATTGTGGTGACGTGGAGCTGTGGACGTCCTGGGATGCGAAAGGCTCGTAGTTTTACGATACTGACCTTCTGGATGAATTGCGTTCTTTTGAAAAGACCTGTTCGAGGTTCCGCGGGCTTGCTTGACTGAGGGTTGATCGTTCTTCTCGATTGAACATGCAGGAGATTCCCCCTATGTTAGGGACCCCAGCTGGAAGGGCCCACAAACACACCCTTGAAACAAACACTCACGTAGCAGGCAATTAGCTGTTTGAACGGACAATCGCTTTTGATACCCGGCCACACTAGCTGCCAGCAGGCATTCTTTCTCGAGGGTTTTGTCAGATCGCAAGGTCCTGACCTGTTAAAAGAGAGAATCGTCCGATCGAAGCTTGATGCCTTCCTATGTGCTGTGTTTGGCTTGGGTTATGTTTCAACCTGTTCAGCTTGTGATGATTCAGACCGCAAAGAAAAGCGGAACCCAAAGATCGCACATTGGTTCACTTTGGTATTCTTTTGCCACCCGTTCCCCGAAGCCGGAAGGGATCACATATTCATTCGAACCCATGGGCCTCTTTTTTGTTCCGAGGATGCGAACCGGTCCTCCACGCTGGAGATGTCCACTACCCGGAAGAAGAAGGACACCTTTTTCAGCGCCGTCAGGGCGGTCCTTTTTGGTTGCCGGGCCTCTTGGATGCTCAACCGAATGGCTGGATTCTAGTTGTGGGTACAAGTGGGGCAACATGAGGTGGCTACCTGCCAGGAAAGGAACTTGTCTTTTGCTTGGGAGCCGCAGCGAACAGGCTTTGCTATTCGGCAAGACGCATATGATTCTTCAGCACTATTCATTGGAACAAGGTATTTGCTGCGTTTCAGAGGTTTTCTGGGGGTTGGCGGGAGGCGGAATAAACAAGAAGGTGTGTTTGTGTGTGTGTGTGTGCGCGTGCGCGTGCGCGTGCGCGTGCGCGTGCGTGCGTGCGTGCGTGCGTGCGTGCGTGCGTGCGTGTGTGTGTGTGTGTCTTTGTGCTTGTGCTTGTGTTTGTGTTTGTGTGTGTGTTTGTGTTCGTGCCTGTGCTTGTGCTTGTGCTTGTGCTTGTGTTTGTGCTCGTGCTTTTGTGTGTGTGTGCTTGTTTGTGTTTTTGTGATTGTGTTTGTGTTTGTGGTTGTGTGGTTGCGTTTCTGTTTGGGTTTGTGTTTGCGTTTGTGTGTGTGTGTGCGTTTGCGTGCGGGCGGGCGCGGCGGGGCGTGCGGGCGTGCGGGCGTGCGCGCGTGCGTGCGTGCGTGCGTGCGTGCGCGCGCGTGCGCGCGCGTGCGTGCGTGCGTGCGCGTGCGTGCGTGTGCGTGCGTGTGAGCGTGCGTGCGTGTGTGCGTGCGTGGGTGTGGTGTGTGTGTGTGTGTCTGTGTGTGTGCGTGTGTGTGTGTGTGTGGGTGCGTGCGTGCGTGCGCGGGCGGGCGGGCGGGCGTGCGTGCGTGCGTGCGTGCGTGCGTGCGTGCGTGCGTGCATGTGCGTGCGGTCGTGCGTGCGTGCGTGCGTGCGTCTGCGTGTGCGTGTGCGTATGCGTGTGCGTGTGCGTGTGCGTGTGCGCGTGCGTGTGTGCGTGTGTGCGTATATGCGTATGTGCGTGTGCGCGTGTGTGTGTGTGCGTGCGTGTGCGTGTGCGTGCGGTGCGCGTGCGTGCGTGCGTGTGTATATATTGTGCGTGTGCGTGTGCGTGTGTGCGTGCGTGTGCGTGTGCGTGTGTGTGTGCGTGTGTGTAGTGCGTGCGTGCGTGTGTGTGTGTTGTGATGTGTGGTGTTGTGTGTGTGTGTTGTGTGTGTGTGGTGTTGTGTGTGTGTGTTGTGTGTGTGGTGTTCTGTGTGTGTGTGTGTTGTGTGCGTGCGTGTGCGTGCGTGCGTGGTACGTGCGTGGTGTGTGTGTGTGTGTGTGTGTGTGTGTGTGTGTGTGTGTGTGTGTGTGTGTGTGTGTGTGTGTGTGTGTGTGTGTGTGTGTGTGTGTGTGTGTGTGTGTGTGTGTGTGTGTGTGTGTGTGTGTGTGTGTGTGTGTGTGTGTGTGTGTGTGTGTGTGTGTGTGTGTTTGTGTCTGTGTGTGTGTGTGTTTTTGTGTTTTTGTGTTTTTGTGTTTTTGTGTTTTTGTGTTTTTGTGTTTGTGTGTGTGTGTTTTTGTGTTTGTGTGTTTGTGTGTTTCTGTGATTGTGTGATTGTGTGTTTGCGTGTGTGTGTTTGTGTTTTGTGTTTTGTTTTTGATTTTGGTTTTGTTTTTGTTGTTGTTTTTGTGTTTGTGTGTGTGTCTCTGTGTTTGTGTCCGCGTTTGTTATTGTTTGTTTGTGGTTGTATTTGTGTTTGCGCTTGTTTTTTGTTGTTTGTGTGGTTGTGTGTGTGTTTTTGGGGTACCTTTTTTGAGGTTGGTTTAGCAGGAGATCATTTTGACACAGCGAGTCCCAACCCCATTGCAGGAGGAGCCCAAGGAGTGCCATGAGATCGTGGGCGGAGCTGAGAAGCGAGAGAGGCAGGATCCGGCGGAGACAGCATGAGAAACCTGGTGCATTCCGTGCCCGAAGGCTGCTGAACGAGATT